TGCAAAATACCGGAATATTTAGAAATGAACGGAAAAGGTGAACTACAGGATTTAAAATTCCACGCTCTAAAATATAACACAAACGTCATTGTTATAGGGAAAATATGCCTGAAATTCAATCTATAAGACATTTGACCTACAGAAAGTATAAACTTTAAGGCTCTAAAAATATAAGCCCACCTTTGCTCTAAATAGCATATTTAAATCTCAAATGCACTTTCAGAGAACGTTCCCGTGCAGTTAAAACCAAAACGCAGTACTGCTTTGTGCAGGAATTGTGCGAAATTTTCCATCAGCCTGAAAAAAAGACAGGTAATGTCCGGGCACGGAACCGGCAGGTCCCCAGCCATTCCGGCAGGACGGACGGACGGACAGAAGCGTGTGCTGGGCTGATCAAGGCAAGGGCAGAATCCGACATCAGCCCCGTCGGGGCGAGACTGCGGCCACTTGCTTGTCAAAGTGACGCTGCCCACGGAGCGGGCGTCGGGACACATGAGATTCATCGAGTAAACCCACGGGAGTTGTTCTCGCTTGGGCTTACAGGAGTGGCACAACGTTCGGGGTAGGCTGCGGACCCGGAACGCTCGCTGAGTCAGCGGCACAGGGCCGTGGGCCGGGTTTCCGTTGTAGCATCAGGGTCAGCAGGAGAGAGGTGTCCTGGCTGCGGTGCTGTGCCGGCAGCTTTCTCCTGCCGGGACCAACCCCTGACGTTCACCACGTGCCATCCTTGGCAACTCGGCGTCCTTGCTCCCCATCCTTGGCAGAAGCTTCCCACGCAGACAAGCTGGGAGCGCTCCCTGCCCAGGAATTCGGCGCTTGCAGTTGCTCAGTGTGGTGGGAAATGCCCCTGAACCTCGGTCGCTTCAGAGACAGGGACAAACTGATTCCCGATCTGGGCCCACCGAAGGCACCGGGTTGCAGCAGTAACGGGTTTAGCTCAGCCTCTGGGGTTTCAAAGCGCTTGGAAATCTCTGAGGTGGAGAATTGTCTCCCTCTCCAGCACAGTGAGGGTACCAATACATTCAATTCCTAGGGAGGGGTATTTCTGCTCTTCCAACCTCAGGCAGCGTTAAGCTCCTTTCCTTCCTGGTAGGCACTTCACAAACACATCAGTCCCACGGCGTGGGGCTCCAGACGGGTTTCTGTGTCGGAACGAGCGGGATGGAAGAAAAGTGGATTGTAAATAACGTGGAATAAGTGAACCGCAGGCAGGAGTCTTTGTGCGAAGCCTGACGATCTCAGATGGTCTGGGATCGATCTCTCAGGTAGTCGCTCCTGGGGAGAAGTCCAGGAGTGAATGAAGAGCACAAGAGAGACTTCAGCCGTTTGGGCTGGATGCTCGGGCTCTCCTTACAGCTCTGGCAAGTGGGAGCAGGAACCTCCCGATTCACCCCCTGGGCGCAGGTCTGACCTCGTGGCCACCAGCGCTTCCCCAGAGCCAGGTGACCGCTCTCTGCGGGCACTGTCATGTTTTTGCAGGGCCAGCACTGTTCGGTAACTTTCCTGGGAAAGAAATGGTGACACGGCTACTGGGCCACTATTTCCTCGAAATCGGAGAGCTGCCGCATCTGCTCCGCTTGCATGGAGTGTCTCCGGAGAAGCTTCCTTTTGGCTCTCAAGTCGCCCCGTCTGGGCGAGCTCGGAGCGATGGGTACCAGGGACTTCAAGCCAGCAGCAAGCAGGGAGGAGGTTTTGCTGGTGGAGCCAATGTCGGGGATCGGGGGGTTGGGGTTCACGTTCAGGGGGGGCAGATATCCCGGCCTTTTGTGGGAGATGTGGTCCAGCAGCAGGGTCCCAGACCCTCGCCTCTCCAGCAAGCTGGGCGGTCGGCGCCGGATGGTCCCAGGTGATGTGCCGGAAGGGACTCCCGCGAGCCGTCCAGCAAGGCCAGGTGGGACCCACTGAGTTTCCTCCTCTCCGATGGCACCTTCCCCACCTCGGCCGGGCTGGGGATGCCAGAGAGCTGGGGGTCACAGTCATAGTGCTCGGTGCCCAGCCTCTGCCAGTGCAGAGCATCCATCGCCGCAGCCGAGCCGGCGGTAGCGAAGCTGACGGTCTCCGGCACTTCGGGGACGGGGCTCCTTCGGGGCAGGCGCTGGTGGGCAGCCTGGCTCTTCTCGTAGGCCGCTTTTCTGGCCAGCAGCCCAGGGGCTGGCGGTGCCCGCAGAGCCTGCTCGTCTACCGGGGGGAAGAGAGAGGGGTCCCTGCTCTTGCTGCTGCCGCTCCGGGTGAGGGGAGCCTTTTTGGAGAGCGAGAGGTCGCCGATGCCCATGATCACCTCGTCATCCACGCAGACCCGCGTGTCGTCGCGGTACATGGAGGCCGCCAGCACCGAGGGTGCGACCAGACCCCACGGCTCTGACCGCAGCCGCTTCAGCTGGGGCAGGCGGGCTCTCCTGGCCGCACCAGCTCTCTGGCCTGGGGAGGGGGGCTCGTCGGCAGATCTGGCAGAGGGGTTGTCCCCGGGGTGCGATGGGTGTGGGCTGAAGATGCCGCTTTCCTTCTCGGCAGGGGAAGGTGCTGAGATGGGTGTTTTCGGGTGTGCGCTGGAGGGTGCTGTGCACGCCTCGGGGGATGCCCTCTCCTTGAACTCCAGCGAGGGGGGAACGTTCAGGTACTGCTTGGTGGTCTTGGTGCCAGAGGCAGATTTGTCCATGGTGATAATGATTACCTCCTTCCCTTTGGCCTTGCAGGCGTTCAGGAGGTGCTGCAGCACGCCCTTGTCATCGGCGTTGATGGCATGGACCAGAGCTGATGCTCCCGAGTGGTCCTCCAGGCTGGGGTCTGCCCCGTTCTCCAGCAGCAGGGTCACCACGTCTCCCCCAGCGCCGTGGATGCAGGCGTGCATGAGGGCTGTTTTCCCAGCCTT